CTGGGTGACCTGATTGATAGGTTAACCATTGTTCCGCTCTGCAAAGGACAGATGTTATCTAAAAATTAAGTGCTGAAATTAGCTGACAAAACACTGGAAATTCTGGGGAATCTTCTCTGTCCTCAAGCAAAGGGAAACAAAGTTCTTCTTAATTGTCCTTTCTATAAAAGTCTGTCAAAATTTTAAGTGAGTTACACAGTTTTGCAAACTCCAACTGCACTGTGTCGCTGGTGCCAGGATAAATAAAAGCACTCCTTTTTCTTTAAAGAAGATGTCTTGCTCCATTTTTGGACACCATTTTGGGGACTCATTTTTTGGGGTACAACACTTTTGCTTTGTCCTGAGATCCGATCCACAGCAAAGGGTGTGTTTTCCTCCATGGTTGCAAGGTGTCTGGTCGTCTGCACTGGCTCCTTTGAGGTACCTATCCCTGTCTGACTGCCTATAATATTTCTCATTACCTCAGCTGCCTGTAACAAAGTGACCCAGATTTGGGCAGTGGATGTGAGTGGCGGGCGGCCCAGGATCCAGGTCCTGTTTCTGGTCCTTCAGGTCTCAAGAGCCCACTGTGGCGTGGCTTCGAGGAGACTGGAGTCCTTCAGTTCCTCCTGCCATGCTGGGAGCTTGGCATTTGATGTCTGATCTGAGGTTCAGGATGCAGCCTGGGGTCCTGACACAAATGGGGGAAGTGAATAAAGCCACCAGCTTGCCCTGGGGGTGCCTGGCAGTAGAGAGCAGCCTCAGGCCTTGGAGGAAGGTGCAAGACACTGCAAAGAGCTCAACTCAGGCCTTTGGCTGTGAGGAGTTACCTGGAGGGAATTTCCAGGAGCCACCCTGGAGGAGGCCTGGGAGAGAGGGAGGGAAGACTTGGAGGTGCCGCTGAGGGCACCCGGAGACATCCCCACCATCATTTAACTGTCCTTTCCCCTTTTGTGGCATCGCTCACTGGAATGCAGATCATAAAAATTACAATTGATGTTTCCATTAGTTATAATTTACAGAGTGATTACATTTAATTTCTCTTTTATTGTGTTTTAATGGCTTCAAATTTCTTGTTGATGAGATTCAGCCCCATACTCTGAAGTCACAGGCCGCGGGTGGGGAGGAGGTGTGGGTTGTTAGAGTACAGAGGGGCAGGAGTCACAACCTGGGGCTGCGGGCTGCTGTGTCTGTCTCTGGCTGGCTGGGAGCCTCCAAGACAAGGTGGAGATGAGGCAGAGGCTGCAGATCTGAGGGTCGGAGAAGTCTGGAGTGCGCCTGCAGGCATCTGTTTAAATGATGCTGCTAATGGGGAACGAGCCTTCCTTCATCTTCTTAAACAAAGCTGCAGGGAGGTGAGGCTGTGGGGAGCCGGAAGGGAAAGAGACTCCATGAGCCCCTCCCCAGGCTGGGGGAACACAGGCCGAGGGGAAGGGGGAGGGCAGAGTCCCGCTTCCTACCACCCTCTGGCATCGAACGTCACCTGCTGCTTAATGAGGCCCAGCCTGGTGTGTCTGTGTTCTTGGCCCCAAGTCCTGGAGTGGTTCGGTCCAGATTCCTTCTGAGTGATTCCTTTTGAAGCTCAGCATTACTTGGAAGAAGTCCCGGGATGACTCTTCTCTCTCGCTTCGTGCTCTGGCCGTGTAACGCTGCGGGGGCAGTGGGGAGCTGGCAGCTGGCTGCAGTCAGGGATTCACCAATATGCTTGCCTTGAAGGCTCACAGCCCTGGCTTTGTCCCCAGGGGGCGGACCCCACAGCCTTGCTGTGTATTGACTGGGCTACAGAGGGTGAGTGTAGGCTGTCCCTTATGGGCTGCGTGGCCCAGGGGCAAGGGGCCTTCCTGCCACTGGGTGGTTGCTCACACACTGCAGGCTTTGAAGTAGCTTCAAAGCATCCCTGAGAAAGGTCCCTAAATTGTCTGAGAAGCAGTCTGGACTTTGTCAGCTCTGGAGGTGAGCTGAGAGGTGACAGCTCTGTAGGACTTCCACAATGGGAGGGAGAGCCAGCACACCACAGCTTCAGGAAGGAGGGAGGAGGTGGGAGGAAGATCCTGAGCTGCACTGTGGCTGCCTGGAGAGGCCAAGTCAGCAGGCTCTGAGGAGGGAGCAGAGCTGTGCAGGGCTGCTGTTCACTGGACCTGCAGGGGTTCCTCGGGATGGCAGCCAGGCTTGTGGGGGGCTGACACGAAGGACAGAGCAGGGCCTGACCTCAGGACACACCCCATCTCGTGCCATCCAGGGCTGTCCACCCCCAGGTCTTCTGGCAGGGGACACACAAAAGCCGCTGGGGTCAGAGTGTGCATAGACTGCTCCCCAGCGTGGCTCCTGAAACTTATCTTGGAAGGGAAGCTGTTTTCAGGAACGGAAATTTCAGGCTGGAGGAGAAAAAACAACAAGATGTCCGCACTTTCTAGCTTCTGGACATTAAATTAGATATGGAGAGCAAAGACTCACGAGGAATGTCTTATCCTCCTGATCCTGTTGTAGTTTTTGGTCAGCAAGTTGGGGGTTTCATCTTTGGGGCTCCCCATTTCCATTTAGCTTCCTGACAATTCCCATGTTCTCAGGAGTCACCACTAAACACTCAGTCTTTACTATTCACTCAAATGTAAATGGGAGATACATGATTATCAGTCACCCTTTCATCATTGAGACCCAGTACCTCCTTGGCTCCAGCCTAAAAGAGGACACACATGATTTGCATCGTTTGGTCCGTGGTCACCTGGCTCCGAGGCAGAGCCATCATGGAAGGGGGTGGTAGAGTAGGACTGCTTTGCTCATGGAGGCCAGAGGCAGAGCAGGGGGACAGGTCCCGGGAGGAGTGGGTGTGCCGAGCACATGCACCCAGGACTTCTCAGACACACCCAGAAGTGTGTTCCACCCCTGTCAAGGTGAATCCAAAGCTAATCAAGTTGACCCTCTACCTTATCCATATACAGTAGGTCATGTATCAATTTTATGAAGGTATTTCCTTTACTGGTCTTTTTTTAAAGGCAGGATATTTCACTGTATGATTTAGGCTGATCTTGAACTCACTCTGTAGCCCAGGCTGGCCGCAAACTTACCGGGATCCTCCTGCCTCAGCCTCCCCAGTGCTGAGATTACCCATGTGTGCCACTGTGCCTGGCTTTTTCGTTTTTCTTATTGAGGGATCCTTTGCATCATCTAAACTCATCTTCCTGGGCCTCAGTTTAGTCTAAGTGGATAGTGAGGGAGTCCCCACATGTACAGGCCCCTTCAGTCTCTTCCATGTCCCTAAGGTGGTCATCCCTAGAAGCCAGATGGGCTGTTGGAGCGAGGCAGCAGGTGTGGCTCATGCTTTCAGGGATTTGAGGAAGTAATTCAGTGTCTCTGCTGATGCCCTCCAGCCCCAGTCCTGTCCACCAGGAGAGTGGCACGGTGTATGCCTGTTGGTCTTGTGCCCTGTGTCTTTTTCCTAGGGTTGCCACAGCAAAGGGCCACAAACTTGTTGGTTTAAAACAACAGACATAGATTCTCTCCCATTCTGTGAGGCCTGAAATCCCAACCCAGGTGTTAGCAGGCTGTGTGTCGTTCTGAGGCCCCATGGGAAGGCCCTTCCTCGCCTCGTACAGCTAGAGTGGCCCTGGCTTGTGGCTGTGTCACTTTAGTCTCTGCTTCCATTCACACGTCCATGCTTCACTCTCTGCAGTCACCGTCTGACACTGTTCCCATGTGCTGCTTCCTAGCCACCACGATGCCCTTCCACCATGGAGCTGACTGACCATGGACCAAACCCCCTCAAACCATGAGGCAAATTCAATGTCCCCCTCGGGTCTGTCTCACCTTCTGTCTCCTACAGGGACATTTACATTGGTTTTAGTGTCTATACTCCCCTGGGTTTATTTGTCGAAATTTTGTTCTGGGCATTGTATACCTGAGATAGACACTAGAAAGGAGAAAAAGTATATTTTGGGTTAGGGTTTCAGAGATTTCAGTCCATGGTTGGTGGACTCCAAGGCAAAAACATGGTGGGAGGGCCTGACGGTGGAAAGTTGCATGCTTCATGGCAGCCAGGAAGTGGAGTGGGAGGAAAAGAGCCAGAGAAGAGACACACCCTGAAAGTCCTGTCTCCGGTGACCTAATTCCTCCAAGGAGACCCCGCCTTGTAGCAACGCACTCAGCTGTGAACTCAGCTGTTCATATGAGTTTGGTGCTCTTGGTACATGAGTTTTTGGGGGAACATTTCATGCTTAAACTACGATGCTGGGCTAACTTCAACTTGATCCTTACCTGAGATGCAGCTGCAAAACTCTATTTCCAAATAAAGTCACATTCTAAGCACCTGGGTGATTGAATGTGTGTGCGTGTGCGTGTGCGTGTGCCTGTGCGTGTGTGTGTGCCTGTGCGTGTGCGTGCGTGTGTGTGCGTGTGCGTGTGTGTGTAACACTCTTCAGTTCCCGCTGCTCCTCAGCGTCTCTTGCTCTTTCTTCCTGGTGACACAGCCTGCCTCTTTCATCAGCTCTGTTGTCCCTGACCTCATTATACAAGATCCGGGCAGGCAGATGATTATAGTGTCTTCTTTTTCCTCTCTGGATGCAGGGAAGAACTGTGGCACTGGGCAGCTGCATTTATTTCCAATGAGACATCCAAGTTTCAACTGGCTCTTGGTTTCTGGGTTTCAGTCCATGGTGGACCCACTTAAGGCACAAGTGGCCTGGTGGAAGGCCCCGGGGGAGAAGGTGCTAATCTCACGGCAGCTGCCAAGCTGAGAGAGAAAGGAAGAGCCGGGCTCCCAAAGCCCCAAGTCACTGGCCTCAAGCCCCAGTGACACACCTCCTCCTATCAGGCCACTCCTTTTTCTTCTGTTTCATCCATTTATTTATTACTCTTTTTGGCTTTTGTTTTTTTTTAGTCTTTTTGAGACAGGGTCTCACTATGCAGTTCAGGCTGGCATTGGGCTCACTTCCTAGCCCAGGCTGGTCTCGAACTTGCAATGATCCTCCTGTCCCAGCCTCCCGAGTGCTGGGATTACAGGAGTGCACCACCGCATCTGGCTTTATTTTAATATGGAATGCTTCATGAATTTGCACATCATCCTTGCGCAAGGGCCATGCTCATCTTCTCTCTATGGTTCCAATTTTAGTACCTGTGCTACTGTAGCAAGCACAGGCCCTACCTTCTAACAGTTTGTTTTGCTAAGAACTCATAAATGCATCTGGGCCCCCATGATCCAGTCATCTTCCAAAATCCCCACCTCTTAACATGCAAGCCTTTTAGAGGACTTTCCAGATCAACATCAGAAGACCTGGGGTGGCTGTGACTGGCTCCTTTCCTCCTGCTGCATGAAGGCAGCTGGGATGCAGGAACGATAAGCAGAAGCAGAGCATGGAGATGGAGGTGTGACAGCCTGTGAATGTGAGCAGCAGGTGGTAGGACAGGGAAAACCCAGCGTCATCACCTAGAACCCTGACCTACCAATATCCAGCAGCAAGGTTGCTTCCCCTTACCCAGAAACGAGGACCACTCCCCTTTCCCTGCTCCTGTGAATCTGACTTGCTGTTCAGTCTCTTGCAACAGAGGCCAGACAGTAAAGCAGCCTAGGGAATAGTGATGGGTGGCCATCAGCTGTGGTTTAGTGAACAGATACTGGGGACACTAGCAAAGGGACCCTTGCTAAGGGCAGGCACTGGACTGGATTAATGACTTCAACAAGCATGCATTAGGCACTTCTTGCATGGTTGGTCCCAGGAACACAGAGATGCAAGCATGAGGGACAATGGCAGAGTTAAGGAGGTCAGCTAGATGTGAGACGCTCGGTAGCCGTGCTTAGGTGCCATCAGGTGGAAGGCCGGGGAGCCCTCTGAGCAAGACAGGCCACTAGCTCCCTGCTTCGGGTGCCCAGCTGGTGCTTGGAAGCATTTGTTGAATAAATGAATTTAGATTACTTCGTGATTCACTTGGTTGTGTCTGCCAGGACCTCATGCTGTGTGCATCCTCTTTCCTTTGCACGCCTTCGCTGAGTGTGTGCGTACACACACACACACACACACACACACACACACACACACACGGAGTGCTGAATCAGCACCTGGGGGTCCATGAGCCGCCTCGGCTGGTAGGCCAGTGATTGTCAGCTGCCCTGGCTGACAGCCCCCCGTTCTCCCTTCTGACTGCCCCTTCAGGGATGGACGTCAGTGGGGAGGGGCTGCACAGCTCCTGGAATTCACTTGGACTCAGCGAGTCACTTCGCGGATTATCGATGGCATGCATTATCCATGATCCTTCCCTCCTTGCCACCCCTCACTGTCTGGGCCATCGTCGCCGAGGCTCAGATACACACGGCCATTCCAATACTGGTTCTTGACTCTCAAGCTCTTGGGAGTCTTGAGGTGCACTTTAGGGGGAGAGGGATGAAAATTGCGGGCGAATGCGTGGGCTGGGGGTGGGGAACTCCCACTCTGGGTACTCCTGTCCCTCGTGTAACCCCAGTACTTGGGAGGCCGAGGCAGTAGGGTCACTTGAGTTCAGGAGTTCAAGACCAGCTTGAGCACTAGATCGCAGCCTGTCTGTCTTTCTTTCCAGCCCTCCCCCTCAAACCCCTCTGAAAGACTCATCTAAGGGTTCTGTGCCTTCAGTCCCTATTCTAGGAAACTGGAGTCCGTGCTGTGGGCCCCTCAGACAACCACAAGGTGTCAGTGTTTCTTAGTGGATGGGAATCACGGGAGCCAGGAAGGGCCACTGGAGCGGGAGGTCTAGGGCTAGTCTCGGGGAATAACAGTGCCTGGGTCACGCCTATTTTACAAACGCGAGCCCAGTTAAGGTCTGCGTAAGAATTCTCGGGGGTTCTGCCCTCCAGTTCTCAAGCCACCACTGTCTTCAGGATCCTTCCCTCCTATGGTGCCCGGAGAGGTGTGGCAAGCTGGTGAGTGGGCGGTGCCAGTGGAGGAGAGGGTGGTGCTCTCCAGCCAAGGTTGGCAGGGGTGTGACAGAGGCCTGGCAATGAGAGAGGTGAGAGGGAAATCTTTGTTCATCCTTTCCTGCCGTTAGTCAGCCTCCATTTTGGGTTGATTACTCAGAAGAAAGAGAAGGGTGAGGGTAGGGAAGAGAAGGCAAGGGGTGGAGGGTTGGGGAGAGGAGAGGAGGGGAGGGAAGGGGAGGGGAGAGGAGGGGAGGGGAGGGGAGAGGAGATGAGAGGAGAGGAGAGGAGGGGAGGGGAGGGGAGAGGAGCGGAGGGGAGAGGAGCGCAGGCCAGCCTGAAGACGCTCCACTCTCCAAAGGGTCCATTCCACTCCACACTGAAACTTGAGCTACGTCAGATCCTCCGTGGAGCTCACTCTTCCATACCTCCTTGGATACTCTTCCACTCCTGGCCTAGAACCAGGTCCCAGGGCCCTCAGTGTGTGTGACTGCGTAAAGGTCACCGATGCAGAGGCAAGCGGGGGCTGGTGGTGACAGCGAGCAGGAGATGGAGCGCCTCAGTACTCCTGGCATCCATGGAGCAGACCTTGGGTCCTCAAAACGGAGGCAGGAATTGGTTCCCTCCTGAGCCACCCAAGACAGTTCCGGCAAGAGTCAGCGCCACTGGGGTTGGTGACATTTAAACACTGACCTCCACTGCAGGGGTGCGGGTCCAAATCAACACACGTGCTTGTGTGGTTTATTCAGAGAGGAGAAAGGTTATCTGCCGCCTACAACACTTTCCCAGAGAGCCTCAAATTCCGTCATTAGAGACGAGCAATTTAGGTCAGGCCGTGCCTCCCCCGAGGAGTTTTACATAGTTTCTTGCATGTAATAGACTATTCAGTAAATATTTGTCAACCAAGTCTCCATTAAAATGAAAATACCCTGAGGATGGATAAACCATTTTCATTTGCTAACACTTCACTGCAAATTAGTTTATCACACTAACTAGTGTCCTAACAAGGTTTCTGAGGGGCAGAAGCACAGTGCAGATGTGTTTAGAGGAGGCAGGGAGGGGCGGGGGCAATGTGGAGTGTGTAAGCCTTCGGTGAAGACCAGACCAGGCTGAGAGTGAGGGGCTTGGCCCTCAAGGTCATCCCAAGGACTCTGGGGTCCAGTGAATAGGGTTCTTCCCTTCAGCTGTTGGAACCTCTTTAATGATCTTCATGCCCCCTGGGAATATAACCCAACTCCTCCCTGAAGTTGAGTACAAAGGTCCTTTCTGATCTGGCCTCAAGCCTTCTAGCTCCGTGCACTGAGGCTTCAGCTTGTTCTCATGCAAGAACATAAAAGGAAGCCTCATTTTCTCCTACCTTTTGCATTTTTTATTTGTCCCCAAGGCCTGGCTTATTACCTTATCATCTTCCTGCTTAATTACAATGATGTTTCAGTGTTGGTCTGGGTGCCATTTCCTCTGGGAAGTTCTCTATAACGGATCCAAGTGGAAGAGGCTCTCCTGCCAGACACCTTACAGCCTTTCTAGCTGCTCTTCCAGCAGTTACATAGTAGAATTAGAGAACATTAAGAGAAATACTAGACTGAGGCATGGCTCAGTGCCACAGTGTTTATCTAGTATGCACAAGGCCCTGGGTCCCATCCAGTCTCTCTCTCTCTGTCTCAGAGTTTTAAAAAAAATTCCAATTGTATAGGAAACTTTTAATAGAATGTAGAGTTGTCTGTCTGTATAGCCAGAGTTCAGGAAGCCAGAAACTACACAAGTCATTTTAACAGAAAGAATTTAATAATGGAGAATCGGCTAAACATGTATTGGAGGGCTGAAGAGGCAGAACAGGAACATGGAAGAAGCAGCGGAATAGAAGCCATGAAAGAAGCTCTCACCCTGAAGGCTGGCAGCGTAAGTGGGCAGGTGAGATTATATGGGAACTAGAAACTTGAAGATGAGGTCTCACGGATCCTTGATACGGTGGCATCAGCTGACTGGTGCTGATATTACTGAAGAACCTTGATTAGATTGGGCCATAATGAACTGACCATTGGAATAAACGACTGTGGCAGGATTGGGGATCTGTAGAATCACATGGAGAGGAGGAAGGAGCATATTCCTTCTTTCCTCCTGCCTTCCAGTTTTTTCTAGTCCTCTTACTGGCAGAATCTATCAGGAGCCAGTTTGCAAAGAAGAGATGCAATTTGTGAAGTCCTGATGCCAGCATCACACACAGAGCTTAGAAGGGTGCACTTGAAGTTGGGAGATAATAGTTTAGTATCCACTACAATCGACCCTGTCGGCTACCTGGCATCCATTTACACATATTCAAACTTCAACTTATGACAAATGCATATATATATATATATAAACTTCAGGAGGTGCAGTAATCTTTTGTGTAAGATATTCCACTTGTTCTAAAAAAAGAAGAGATATAAAATCCCAACAACCATCATGTCCACCTTTGAGTGAATCATGGCACCCATTTCTACATGTTGATACCCATCAAGTTTTCTTGCAGTTCTGCCTGAATATTCTGTAACCTAATGGCCAAATTATAAAATTAATTACTTCCAATAAAGGTGAGGGAAGAGGAAAAAAGAAATTAGTTATATGCAAATACAAACATACACATATCTAAGAAAAATGTTTCTGTTTTTGTTTTTATGAGGCTGAAGCTGATATTTTTAACACATCTCTTATTGCACATTTCATGTTACAGAGCTTCTTTTGGACACAAGAATACTACTAAGTAGCTCAACAGAGAATTTCTCGGGTCCTTAATCCACTCAGGTAGTAGCAACTTAGTTTTTCTTTGTAGCTGTGGTGGATTGAAAACTTAAGGTCAATTTCAACACCAGCTGAACTGAATCAACATGGTGCTGGGTGTAGAGGGTATGCCTGAGGGCTGTTGCCAGCATAAAAGAAGTGGAGAGGAAGAGAACAGTGTTGTGGGTTCTTCTAAGTGTTGTTGTTTGGAGCTGTTCATTTTCCTGGAGGAACTTGTGCTGGCTTCCCTGGTAGGAACTCAGCTGTTATCATTGAAGGAGCTTGGGACCTTGTCACTGAGAATGGCTGTGGCTCACTTTGGGTGAGCTGTGGTCCTTATTTTGAGCATTATTTCTTGGTTCCAGTGCAGAACTTTCAGCCTACTGGCATAGATCCTTCACCCCACCGGCACAGACTTTGTAGCTCCTACCACTGATCTTTGGGCCTTCCCAGTACAGATTCATGAAACAGACTTGCATGAGTCATTGTTGTGAGCTCTCGGCCTCCATATGGACTTGTAGGGGGCACTGTCATGGGCTCTCGGTCTTCAGCTGGCCTCATGGAGGACACTGCTGTAGGATCCAGGCCCTCGGCTAGATTCCCTTGGATCTTTAGTGTGTGGATAGATTTCCTGCAATTTCTTTGTATTTGACTCTGGGTGACTATCGTAAATAATACTATGAATTATGTGTCCTGTATTGTCTTGTTCTCCTTGAAATCCTTGAGTACAACAGTAGGTAAGAGATAAATCTCTCTGTTTTGATTTTATTTTCTGAGACAGGGTCTTGTTGTATAGTCCAGGCTGGCCTTGAACTCAATGGCAATCCTACCTCGGCCTCCCAAGTGCTGGAATTACAGGAATTTCCCACCACATTTTCCAGTCTCCCTGTTTTAAAAATCAAAACCAGTGGAAAATTTAATGTGATACTGTTACTACTCAAAACATTTAAGCACACGTGTTCTGAACACCCCTAGTAAGACCAATTTGCATTTCTAAACTTGATGCTCTCAAGACAGAAATTTTTTTTTTTGTCTTTTTCATTTTTATCAGTACCGGGGATCGAACTCAACTTCGCCTGTTTGCAAGGCAGGTGCTTATGCTGCTGAGCTAAACCTCCAGCCCCAAGACAGAAATCTTTAAAGAAGAGGAAAAAAATATTATCTTCATGTATTGCAACATGAAAATTGTAACACTGAATGAGTAGAACTGAGGTTTTGCTAATGTTCTATGCTTTATAATTATTAAGTCTTTATTCTTGGAACCAACCTCAATGTTTGCCAGCCATCCCATCACTTTAATCTGTATGTATGTATGTATGTATTTTTAAACTTTTTGAGACAGAGTCTCACTATGCAGTTCAGGCTGGCCTTGAATTTGCAGTGATCCTTCTGCCTCAACCTTAAGCTGTATTAGTTATCATAATTTTTTTTGCTTTCGTTGTGTTTCCTGTGATGAGTCTCACTGTGTAGTCCAGGCTGACCTCAGATTTTCGTTTTTGCCTCAGCCCTAGCAACGACAGGACAACAGGCTGCATCTCTGGCTATAATATTCTTTCTTATGTGTATCAAAACTTGTACTGAACAATGAGTTTTACATTGCAAAAGAGGATTTATTTTGGTGAACTTTCTGTAAGTCAGTCTACCGTTAGACAAAACAAGAGAGTAATTCTCTTTGCTTGTTTATTCAGTAGAGGAAGAGCCTAAACTTCCCAGGCTCAGTCCTGAATTCCAGCTTAGTGCAACCACTGTTGGGTCCCTGAGAGAAACATTGGTTCCTATATCAGTGATTCTTCCTTTGCTCCCTAAAACTCCAGTCATAGGAAACAAATCCCGTGAGCTGTTAGATGTGCTGGTGAGAGGGGTCACCCCCACACCCTCCCATCATCGTTTCTTTGGCTTTGTATTCTGCATCTGGGAAAACACCACCTCAGGTGGGTCCTTGATTCACATGGTATCTGCACCTTGTGAAACAGAAAGCAGTTTTTTGGAATGTTTTGTGCATCAAAGTGGAATTTTCAGCAGGCTCTTTTCCTGTTCTGTCAGACCAGCTGCTCCTGTGTGATGGGTTTGGGGAAAAACACTGGTTTTCATGTGTCTGACCCCTTTGGTTTACTTCTGCCAAGTGAATTCCTTGATCAGAAACGTTGTTGTGTGGAATATCACAGTGGAGGATAAGAGACTGTGGGTTGCTGGATGGATGGCGGTGCTGGCAAGAGCTTTGCAGGCAGAGAAAGCAATTCTGTGTCCTGAAGATACATTATACTAAGCAGGAAAAAATTACTGTTATCTTCAAAAGAGTCAACTTGCCCTCAGGCATTTGGTTGATCTTCTGGGCAGAGGCTATATGGAGGAGTCAGCACTGGTTTCTGTGATTGTCAATTTAGGCACTCAGGAGGGAAAAGAGTCAGATGAATTTTGTATCCGCATTGGTGAGCCCACACTGTTATGGTGTATGTCAGTGGCCCACAAGCCTCATGCAATTATGGACTCAACCAAATCTAGCATTTGTGATTGGTTCATTGTCTAGCACTCGGCTTGGTGGTGTGAGTGCTACACCTGCCTACGGGTGGAATCAGCATAGGATGTACCAGCAGGAGGAAGCCCCCCCCCCCAGCCCTCTCCCTCTCTCTTGCTGGTTTGCACCTTGCTGTTTGAAGCCAGCCATGAATAGGGGCTCTGCTATGCCACCCTGCTGCTTGGAGCCAGCTGAGTATGGACTGAAACCTCCAAAATGGTAATAAATCAACCTTTCCTTCCCTAACTTTGGGTGTTAGGTATTTTGTTTCAGTGACAAGAAAAAAGTAACCAAGACACACAAATAGACTTCCTCTTTGTCCCCATGGCCGTTTTGCATATAGTCCTACTGAGCAAATACTGGGGTGGCTGGGGGAGAATGCAAATGGACACCCACCAAATGAATCAGCTTGTCCATATGATTATGGAAAACCTCCTCTAAAGTGACTCACGCGTGAGAAGTCGGGTGGCACACTTACATATCTGTACCCTGTGCCTGCTTCAAGGGTCTATCGAAATACATCTTCTCTAGATTTCCATTGTCTTCATCTTCCAATTTTGTTCTTTTCCATGTCCGTTACTGTGCAGTTCAACCATTAACTGTAGCCTATGAGCTGGTGTAGATTCCTACTTCGGGTCATTGATCAGTTCAGCTAAGTACACAACCAAAGATGCTGCTTGAACGTCTACCCATTGGAAGATACCTCTGACTTTTACAACACTTTCAATTGGAGTGGTACTACAGCAGAATGCCTCTGGCCAGTGCTCACATATCATGTGAAGTCATCTCTAAGCTAGCCTGGACTTGTTTTATTTCCAGTGAGCTGCTTGAAGATCTCACCCTGAAGTGTAGTCCTTCAGTGGCAACTGCTGTGGTTTATTTTCTGTATTGAACTAGAAAATTTAATATTACTCTACCTTTATTTCTTGATTTGTTAACTTAAGACCTATATTGACTTACTACTGTGAAAAATGAAGACTTAAAGACTTAACTTATTGCCCCTGTCTATGGCCTCCTATTTTTGGTAGTGATCTTTATTTATTGTACTGGTTTTCTTTGCAAAAAATTTATTTTGTTTCAGATAGGGTGTCTCTATGTATTTTAGGCTGGCCTTGAACTCACTAGGTATCCCAGGCTGACCTAGAGCTCACGGTGATGCTCCTACCTCAGCCCCTTGAGTACTGGGTTTATAGACATGTACCACTATCCCCAGCTTACTTTAGCAGTTTTCATTAATTTTCTTAACATATGCAATTCTTATTCCTTCAGTGTGAAACGGTAATTTTCCATGCTCATTCAGCATGATGAGAACATTATTAAACCTCTTTTCTTCCTGCTCACCTCTCCTACCCATTCCTTTTAACTTTTCAGCTTCTTCCAGCTATTTATGTTGTTAAAGTTGATGACATTTACATTCTACTCTTGAACCACATTTATGTCATCTGCGTTTTATCCACAGATTGATTTTAAAAGTTGAAATCCAGGGAAATGTCTTTACAGTTTGATGATTGTGTAAATAATTTTTTACCAGGTGGCTTAGAAGAATTATCTTTCCTCCATTATCACTCTTACATCACAAGCCTGATACAAAGACTTAAGGGAAAATGTTCCCCACATCAAAACCAAATAGATGATCTTTTCGTACTTTTTTTTTTTTTGTCTTTTTCCTTTTTATTGGTACCGGGGATTGAACTCACGACTGCCTGCTTGAAAGGCAGGTGCTTATGCCGCTGAGCTAAATCCCCAGCCTCCTTTTCATACTTTTTTTGTGTGTGTCTCTTTGAGACAGGGTCTCACTGTGTAGTTCAGGCTGATCTTGAGCCCACTTTGTAGCCCAGGATGGTCTTGCACTTGCAAGGATCCCCCTGCCTCAGCCTCCTGAGTGCTGGGATTATAGGTGTGTGCCACTGTGCCCGGCTACTCGTTTTTATATTTTATAACAGTTGTTGAGATTTTCTTTTTGTATTTTCCACCAATTGTTGAAAAGTATGCTTCAATTTAGTCTGCCCCATTTTTAGATCATAATTGTTTTCTATATGTTTTTTTCTGGAGTTTTAAAGTTTTTTTTTAAATTCCTGGCTTTTTGATAGAAGCAAACAATCTTCCTTATCATGTTACAAATATATTTCAGTTTCTTGCTAAGGTTGTCTAATTCTTGGACCACATGTGTTCTTTTAAGAGCTCATCTTTGTAGTCCACTGACTTTTTATCCTAACCAACTGTCATCTGGAATTTCCCTTGCGCAGGTTTCTTTCTTTCTCAAGCATCTTGTTTGTGATGTTGGAACATCGCCTCTGTAATTTCTTTAGAAAGGTGCACAAGGAGTAATTTTTCTTTTGAGCTTTTGGGTGTCTGAGCTTTTTATTTCTTTGATAGTTTGAACACATTTTCAAAATCATTTTGTCCTGGAAAGTGGCGAGCAGGGCTCTGCTGTCTTCTGATCCAGTGTTGTTGAGAAGAAACCACCGAGCATCCTTCATTCTTTTGTGGGAAACTTCCCTCCCTCCCCTGAGACCTGCGGGACCTTACCTGTGTCCTCAGGGGACCAATGTTTCCCCACAGTGAGTTCTGTTGGGAGCATCTTAAAATTCACTTTACTAATCAGTCCCTTTTAGTCAAAAGCATCCATTTTGCCTCGAATTGTGGAAAACTCCTCATTTTATTCAGTAGTTGATTTCTTCTTTCCTTTCTTCTCCTTTCTTTCTAGAGTGCCTATTTTTTTTCAAACGTTAGACCTCCTTGATTGGTCTGCTAAGACTCTTTTCTCTCGCATTTTCTCACTATGTTTTACTCTACATTTCGGAGAATTCCTCAACTTTATCTTCCAATTTTTTATTTGTATTTCAGCAGCCATATGATTTAGATTGTAATAACTTGTTTTCTTACTCTCTGATGATTCATTTTTCATTGTAGTCTGTTCTCATGGCTGCAATGTCTTTCTATGTTTCTCTGATGACACAGTTGGACCGCTGCTCATTTTATTTATTAATATTAAGATTTTTCTTCCATTTGTCATATATCTAGTGACTCATGTTTCTATTTCTAGGGATGAATGAAGGAAAGAAGTTTTAAAGTCTGCTTTCTGTTTGTATAACAAAATACCCAAGACTGGATGCTTTGTAAAGAAAAGAGGTTTGTGGAGCTCACAGTTTCGGAAGCTGAAAGTTCAAGATTGCACAGCCCTCTCTGTCTGGTCTTTGGTTAGGGGCTTCTAGTGGATGGTAGGAGGAGAAGAGATCACTGAACAGAGGAGAGGCCAGAGAGGACAGGGCGTGGTCTTGTTCTTTTTGTACAACTCTCCTGGTGTTAACTGGATCCTCCAAGAACTACATTAATATCTTCTGAGGGTGGTGCCCCCAACAACCTTTGAGCCTCACCTCTTAAAGGTTCTATTGCTTCTCAATATTGCCACACTGAGGACCAAACTTATGGCACATGAATTTGGGGAGACACTCAAGCCATCGCCAAGCCACAGTGGGGCAGTTTTGCAGGGAGGCATGTGTGGGTTTCCTGTGTCTTCCTCGTGTGGGAAAAGTGCTTCCTAGGCACTGTGGTCCGCAAGCAGAGCTTACTGACTGGCTTTGCTTTATGGGGACTGGCCAGGGAGGTGGCTGTGCAGCTAGGATGAGGCGGCACACACAGCAGAGTGACATGAGCTTCCCTCCAGCACACGGGCAGACCCCAGGCTCTACAAGCAGCCAGAAGTCCTCTGGTTTTTACTGCGTCCCCTGTTGGTCTGATAGGCAGGAGCGGAGCTAGAAGGTGATGAACGACAAATCGTCCCATAGAAGTTCAGTTAACCTCTGGGTTTTCTGTGCCATGTCCTGAGTTTCCTCCCACTGCAGCTTGTGTCTGACAACTGTGAATGCTTATCTTTTCAGGGTTCTTCTAGAGACCCCGATGCTGCCTCAGCTCAGCCCTGCTGGGCTTTCTGCCTGCCGCTCTCTCACCAGATACCCCCATAACTTTCGGCCTTCTAAGTGCTTATTGTAACTTGTGTACCCTTGATGACCCTTCCTTCTTTTTACAATTATTGGTTTATTACCTTTTTTCTTTAATATTTATTAGTTTTTAGTGTTTATTCAAATGATGTGCTGGGCATGGTGGCACATGCCTGTAATCCCAGCACTCAGAAGGCTGAGACAGGAGGATTGTC